CTTGGGTAATGCAGATCTTTACCAGATTCCCCCTCTTACTATACCTATCATGCCCAACAACACCTTCCCTTTTTTATTTTAAAACTTTACACTACATAAGGATGCTTCCACATAAATTTCAGCTTTCCTGGCCCAGTGGTTCTTGAGAAGAAGATTTTTAAAGATTTGTTCTATATATTTCTTTGTAAAACTTGGATTCCCTATTGTGGCCCCGCCCAACCCACGGGGGTCATGATTTTAACAATTTAATATTTACACTACCCAAGGATGCTTCCATATAAGTTTCAGCTTTCCTGGCCCAGTGGTTCTTGAAAAGTAGATTTTTAAAGATTTTTTCTATATATTTCTATGTAAAACTTGGATTCTCTATTGTGGCCCCGCCCTACCCATAGGGGTCATGATTTAAACAATTTAATATCTACACTACCCAAGGATGCTTCCATATAAGTTTCAGCTTTCCTGGCCCAGTGGTTCTTGAAAAGTAGATTTTTAAAGATTTGTTCTATGTATTTCTATGTTAAACTTGGATTCCCTATTGTGGCCCCGCCCTACCCATAGGGGTCATGATTTTAACAATTTTTAAATATCTACACTATCCAAGGATGCCTCCACATAAGTTTCAGCTTTCCTGGCCCAGTGGTTCTTGAGAAGAAGATTTTTAAAGATTTGTTCTTTATATTTCTATGTAAAACTTGGATTCCCTATTGTGGCCCCGCCCTACCCCCGGGGGTCATGATTTTAACAATTTACGGGGGTCATGATTTTAACAATTTAATATCTACACTACCCAAGGATGCTTCCACATAAGTTGCAGGCATCCTGGCCTAGTGGTTCTTGAGAAGAAGATTTTTAAAGATTTGTTCTATATATTTCTATGTAAAACTTGGATTCCCTATTGTGGCCCTGCCCTACCCCCGGGGGTCATGATTTTAACAATTTAATATCTACACTACCCAAGGATGCTTTCACATAAGTTTCAGCTTTCCTGGCCCAATGGTTCTTGAGAAGAAGATTTTTTAGTGACCCCAACCTATTTTTGTTTTTTCTTGATTATCTCCCCTTGTAAGGGGCTCGGCCCTTCATTTTTACAATGTAAACTCCACTTAACCCAAGAATGCTTTGTACCAAGTTTGGTGAAAATTGGCCCATTGGTTCTTGAGAAGAAGTCGAAAATGTGAAAAGTTTACAGACGGACGGACAGACAGACGGACGGACAGCTAGACAGACGGACGGACGACGGACAAAATGTGATCAGAAAAGCTCACTTGAGCCTTCGGCTCAGGTGAGCTAAAAACTTATAATTATTATTGTTTGTTTGGAAAAGAAGGATAAATTCATAATCAGTTTAAAACAGGTTACTTGTCCAGAACGATGGTATTCAGTTAGAAATTCTGTGATTGGTTAGATAGAAAAAAAAACAATATACACATAAGTAAAAATTGAACATAATATCACAAATTTCAATACAAAAAACCCAGAGTCAAAAGATTTTTTGGTAGGAAAAACCATCTTGTTTCTCAATAGGAAGTAAAAATAATCTATCGTACAATATGTAAACATAATTAATCAGTTATCATCTTATAGGCAGCAAAATAATGTATAATGTCTTAAAATGACAATCTAAATGTTTTATATATTTCATCAGACGAATATTACCAGTGTAAAGAGATGAATTGCAAAAAGTAGAATTGTCAAATGAGTGATGCAATTGTAGTACTAAGAACTCCTACACTTCTGATCAGATGATAACCTGCAGTTGATAAAAATATGTTAATAATATTGTAACAAATACATGTAACAAATATGCAAAGTAAAGATATTACAAAACGCACGCATAAAAATTTTATATAACATAATTAAACTAATAGTAAGACATAATAATAATAAGACATACTCAATCCTGTAGTCTCCAGATTATAATAGACAACTGTTTTTGGACTACTTGAGTCACCTGTTGGTCCCGGAATAGTCTCCAAATCTGGGTCATCTGTATCTCCTAAGATGCACATAATGAAAAGTTAATAAAAAGAAGTTGGATCATATTCAGGCAAATTATAACAGAATATACAATAACATAGAAAACTAGAAACGATCTCGTTGCGAGCAACGAGAGGTCTTCCGTCCAATTCAGGAAAAAAATCTCGTAAAATCGAGCTGAAAAGTGATTCAAAATTTTGGTCGCAAAGAGGATTGAACCCATGTCGCCTTTTTCTGTTTTATCCCCAACGCGCAAACCATTAAGCTTTTGGGAGTACTGCTCTAAATATACTTGTGTATACTTTTGCAACCGTACACCTGTCTAAGAATCATAAAAGGCGGGTCACTATTAATAATTTGCGCCAAACGCCACGAGTAAATATTCGCGCATTTTCTTTGGACTAATCTATTAAATAGGTGTGATAGTTTCAATGAAATAAAATAAATAAAACGTTCTTATCGCCTTTATTTTATTTCGACGTTTAAAAAGTCATTGTAAACATTACATATATCGTATCTAGCCCAGTTACACTAAAGTAGTGAAACGGTAATTAAGTGTTAAGATTGACACTGAATTGCAAAGTGTTAAGATTGACACTGAATTGCAACGTACTACTACGTGAAAGTCCAAGTAAATTTTTTACATTTCATGCATTCTTATGTCAGAATTGTTTAATCAAACGCTCAGCTGCCTCCATAAACCCCAATTGCGAAATTGCGAAATGGCGGAATTGACAAAGACAGCCGCCATCTTGGGCCCGCTTCAGATTTTCAAATATTAATATCTAGAATTCAGATAAGCCAATTTTCAAACAACTTATATAGTAAGCATCAAATTGTTAAGATGAATACTTTTGCTCAGTAATATATAACAAAATATTGATCATTAGAGAGTTATAGATAAAAGACTTTTGGCCCATCTGAGCCCCTAATTTGAAGGGTCAGCCCTATTTTTTTTTTTACATCAAATGAAAGGTCTTGCGATGTTGCACATTTTGTCTTCAATATGCTTTAACAAATTATGAACAGGTGTGAAGATATGAGACAAAATGCGTCAAATTTTGTGAGATATTTCTGAGACATTTTTTCGGCCCTACCGAACTCCGGTGCCTTTTGCGCTAGAAAGATTTGGAGACCCAATTACAACTCACCAAACCTTCCTCTATTTTCCCTGAAAATCTTAAGTCCATATCTAAAGTCGTTTCGGAGGAGTTTCCCGGACAAGCCGACCCTCTGAAAATCAAAAAATCGTCCATATCTCACGACCGGAAGTGAGATAATCAAAAAGGAAAAAAACCTATCAAGATCAATTAAATATCTTTCAGATCTGAAAGTTTGGTATAAATCGGACGAGCCATCTCTGAGAAATCGCTTGCACAAAATCGGTTGGAAGAATAATAATAATAATAGGGAAAAAGAAACCGAACGAAAACAAGAAGGTCTTCCGTTGGAGACGGAAGACCTTAATAAACTGACTTCAAATTTTCATAAAATTAAAGTGTCAATTATGCTTTATAACCATTAGACTACGTCAAATTACCTAAGATGTTTGAGCAGTAAGTGTCACCCTCTCTAACTTCTTTGCTCCTTGTTTCAGAATTTCTCAGACTCTTCAATTTCTGACGTTGCAACTATATTAAAAAAACATAAATAATTAAAACCAATGTTTTTATTGTGATATGATACAGATACAGAGGGTGGAGCTTTCAAGGAATCTCGAGTCTATGACGTCATGTTATTAGCAATGTAACTATAACGTCAAAACATTTCGACATGCAATGTCAAAATCATACTTGGATTCTGGCAAAATGAAGACAAGGATAATTTAATTCTTAAAAATGTCAGTAAAAATACTTTTTAAAAATACCATAATCTAATTGTTTCAGGAGATGATGCATTACTTATCATACAATCTGTTAAACCGCATGCATTTGTACTTATGCCTCTACAGTGTTTTTTTTTTTTTTGTTTTTTGTTTTTTGTTTTTGTTTTTTTTTGTTGTTTTTTTTTTGATTATCGAAATATCTCATTTAAAAATTAAATTGACTATATATATTATTGTTTTGGTATAATAAAACAGTTATGGAATGGGAACTCGGGAAAAAGCAAATTACTGGTTCCCCGAGTGAGGAAACTATTTCCCTTGGTGTCAAAGCCGCCTTGGGAAATAGTTTCATCCCTCGGGAAATCCTAAATTTGCTTTTTCCTCATACCCATTCCATAACTCATAAGATATTTCACCTTGGATTCTTTTGTCTTGGAAACTTCCCTTTTTTTCTGTACATCTTTGTCGCTGATTGAGGTAACTGCTTTATTGCTGTTTCACTACTAAGTCCAAGCTCCTCATGGACCTAAAATAGCATATAAATATCGATACCATAAAAAAAATACACTGTGTTCAATTTATTACAGTCATGTAGGTAAACTGATATGGGACAGAAATTTATTTCCAATGCATTAATGACATTTTATACCTTTGCTACATAGCTGTATCCTTCATTCTTCTGGCATAGCGCTGCAGAAAGTCTGTGTGCTAAGCTTCCACTCTCGCTATAATGTTTATCTTTTGAAGCCTTTGATCGTAAGGTGTTGTTAAAACTCTCGTTACAGTTGCTCGTTACAGTCCAACTTGCTCAACTTGCTACAATTAAGTTCTCTAAAAACTGATAATAATTCACTCTTCAGGGTTTTATCTTGTAGATCAGCACCCCAAGGAGGATTCCTATGCCTTGTAGTGGGTTTCTTCTTAATATTGCACCATTCTCCACATTTCAGATGGTCTCCAAATTGATGTAAAATCACTGAATCTAAGCCCTTCCCATGGAAAAGTGAACTGCCTATATAGGCAGTTACTAGGCAGTTCTTTAGCAGTTTTACTAATTTTTAGCAGTTTTCAAACAGTTTCATGCAGTTTGATTTTTACTGCTCCCTAGTAACTGCTAGGACCTTGGGAGTAAACAGTTTTCCTTAGCAGTTTTTAAGCAGTAATCAGTTTCCCTAGCAGTTATATCTTAGCTGCATATGCTTGAGGACAAGACAGTTTCCTAAACAGTTTTGTAAGCAGTATATAAGCAGTTTCCTTGTATAATTTGATTGGGTTCAAGAGAAATTTAATGTTGGGCTCAATGTTCCAACAAATATAACAAAACAGGAAGCCAACAACTGACCGCCAAAATTGAATTCTGGGTGCCAATTTGTATTGTTGGACAAAGGCTATATAAACCAATGAAGAGGGAGCCTGCTGGCCATAAGCTGCATTTAGATTTAATGAAGAAATGATGTAGTCATTTAACAATTGGTAAGTAATTACTACAATATATTTATGTGGCCTTTAATAAAGAGATAAATTGAATACATGTTCTGTTCTAATTTTTTGTTTGAATTAATTAAGGGCATATATTAATAATTAATTGCAATCTGTTTCATGATTAATTCCTTTCCATTTACAGACTTTTAGAAGAGGAGTGGGACAAAATTCTAGTTGGCATACACAATTTTTTGTGTCTCTTTCAAGAATAACAACTGAGATCAATGGATGATCTATAAACCTAGCTGCGCTGAGCAATAAATTATTATGATTACCAAAAGAGTGCCAATTGAAATACTTTTGTGGTTTACATAAGGATAGAAAAACCCAACAATGTACTGGCCTTTAGTGCAATAGGACTGCTGTATAATCAGGACTTAATGTGGGATGAAGTGGATATTTATTGCTGTTACTTAATTTGGACATTTTAATTATACCTTCAGTGTTGAATCTTGTTGAGCATCATATGCCCTGGGATATATGTTTTCTAAAAAGTCAGTGAGTATAACTGCATGGTTGTTTGTGTTAATAATTAAGATACATGTAAAATTACAGATGCATAAAACAGTACTTAAGTGTTTAAATTTTTTTTAAACATTCATCATCGCAATCTCTGATTGCTTGATTGTGTAGTTAATCAATCGTACAAAATACAATAAATTAAAATGTAACAATTGATCTATTATTGCTATGTAATTAAAAGTTTGATACGAGAAAACCTCTTCGTGACTCATTAATATTTATGTGATAAGAGGGAAATAGATAAGCAGTAGTATACTGGAAGTCCACAAGCAGTTAGCAAAAACTGCTAAAGTAACTGCCTATGAACTGCTTAAGTAACTGCCTATGAACTGCTAAGAAACTGCCTATGAACTGCAAAGAAACTGGTAAGGCTAAGAAAACTGCTTATAAATTGCAAAAAGTTTGCATGTTCATCCATCAGCAATCTGGGAAGGTTAAGTAACTGCTCTAGGACTGCTTAAATGTTTAAACTGTTAAGGCTAAGAAACTGCTTAATAACTGCCTTCCACTTTGCCATGGGTTCTCAATTTGAACTTCATCTCCTTTGCTCTGCGCTAACATGTAGCTGAAACTTTTACTATGGCATTTATGGTTTTTACTGACAGCTACTTGTATTACGGCTTTAACTTGTACATTTTATTGGTAATGTTTTTCTTTACGCGGTCTTTGTCACTTACTTTTTCAATGCATGAACTAACCTCACACCTTGCTCGATTAAAAGCAATACAATCATTATCTCCTATGAGTGTATCAACAGGGTTATTTTTATCTTTGTTATCATTTCGAATTTCCACAATCATGTCAGGTTCCATAGCTTTAGAAGATCCTTTCCAGTTTTTTCTGCATACATGCGTTCCAGGTGTTTTCTTTTTTGCCTTTGCTACATCACATTATCTGCATCATTTATATCTAGCACTGAACCCGTACGAAAGTTCGAGGCGGAATAGGAACGGCTTGGGCACGGCTAAGACACGGAATCTGCACGGGTTTTTAAAAAGCCGCACGGGTTCTGCATGTCCAAGACACTCAGACACGGATTCCGTGTCTGACCGTGAGGAATCCTTACTCACAGAAACCCGTGTGGAGGCATGGAATCCGTGTCCCTGGGAGACGGTTTTTAACTCAGGCGGGTTTTCCTTCAAACTATTTATTTATATCTCACGGCTTTTTACTGAGCATGCTCAATCATAACTTCCTTTATTTGAATATTAAATTGGAGGGATTCATGGTCATGAGCTAAGTCAATGTGTCTTTTTGCTCTATTTAAAGGATATTTAACAAATAGATGTCAGATGGAATTGTATTTATGTCAGTCTGGGATAATTTCTTCACTTTTGAACAAGATGCAGTAAGTGTAATCTAGAATTTCAATTTTCATGATCTTCCTGTATTGCAATGTTGACAATGAACATGATGAAATGGTTTGGGTTTATTTAAATGACTTTAGTTTAGTATTATATTTTATGTGACATCACTGTGCTAGTGAACGTTTTATTTAAACTAAATTCTTTCTCAGATTGTGCAAACTTAGCTAAGTAGATTAAATTACAATTGAATATTGTATATTATCATTAAAATCTTAATTAGAAACTAGCATGGAATATAACTGATAAAAGTAAATCTTTAACTGAAAGTAAATTCATATAAGATTTTTAACTTTTAAAATTCTAAAACTAAGCATTAATGTAAAGCAATGTGAAGTTAGTTTGGTTTCAGTCACCATTTTGGCATCCACAGTTACATCAGGGGGTTCCCTTTAGAGGGTGATGACCTAGATCTAAACAAATGCACAGATCCCGTGACTCCTTATATGGTATACGGCACGGCTTTTTTGACACGGGTTTCTAAAAAACCGTGTCTCCATAAATATGGAAAAGGACACGGGTTTCAGACACGGGTTTACAGAATCCGTTAGTCCATATATGGAAACTAGCACGGCTTTCTGACACGGGTTTTGTAAAACCGTGTGACCTCATTTAAATATTTCGGCCAATATCCCGTGCCGTGTCCGTACCTCGACCACTTTTAGGCACGGCTTTCCATACATACTTTACATAGGAGCACGGAATGCTAAAGCACGGGTTTCTGGAGACGGAATCCGTGCGTGAGCCGTGTCTAAACCGCCCGAACTGTTTCGTACGGGAAGTCAACAACTTTTCCAGTCCTTTTACCAATGAGAGATGCCGTGCCTACAATCCAATTAGAATTAAATATATTTTAAAATAATATAAAAGGATACCTAACAAGAAATCAGTGGACCACTATGCTCACTTGAATCCCATTGGTCTTGTTGACTTTTCTTTACCTAATATTGCTTTGTGACAAGTTTGGTTGAAATCGGCCCAGTTGTTCCTGAGAAAAAGATGAAAATGTAAGAAGTTTACAGACAGACGGACAACAGACAATCGGTGAACAGGAAAGCTACTCAAGCTTTTAGCCCAGGTGAGCTAAAAATGTTGAAAATGGTAAAAGACCAGAATCCTAGCATTCAAAGATGCTTTATATTACGTAAAATTATATTGCTATATTCACAGGTTTCAAGAAACCTCTCAGACTAGCTGTTTCATTCGGGCAAACATAGTCATAATAAAGGTTCGGTATTAAAAAGTTTACAGGGGAGGGGGTGGGGGAGGGAGTCTTGAATTTTAAACTACATGATGATGCTTCCATATTAATATGAAATATCTATATCAATATATCCATATCAAGTGGCTCTGCTGTTCTTTAGCAGCAATTTTTTTTTTCTATTCATTAATTTGTAAAAGTTAATTCCCAGTTGTGGCCTATCTCTCCCCCTATCGGGCCCTCAATGGAATAAAATGTATTGTTCACTATCTGAGGAAGCCTCCATATATGAATACTGATAAGACTAATGGCTTTTCTGTTGTTGAGAAAAAGATTTATTTTCTAAATTATCCTTTTCAAAATATTGATGCCCCATTGTGGCCCCACCCTACCCCCGGGCATCATGACTTGAACAAACTTGAATCTAGTCATTACCTGTGGATGCTTTATCATGGCTTTGCTGTTCTTGAGAAGAAGATTAAATTGAACAGCATTTTCTGTTTTATTTCTATGTAAAACTTTTATCCCCCTTTGTGACCCCACCCTACCTTCTGGGGTCATGATTTGAACAAACTTAAATCCACACTACCTGAATATGTTTCCACATACATAGTTTCATCTTTCCTAGCCCAGTGGTTTGTGAGAAAAAGATTTTTAAAAGATACCTCCAAATTTTCATCTATTTTTAATTATCTTCCTTTGAACATGTTGAAAGAAGCGTGGCCTTTCATTAAAACAAATTTTAATCCCTTTATTCAGGGATTTTTCATGGCAAGTTTGGTTAAAATTGGTTAAAATTGGTAGTTCTTGAGAAAAAGTGGAAATTTGAAAAGTTCACGGACAGATGGATGGACAGACAGACGACCGACAAAATGTGATCAAAAAACTGGTCACTTGAGCTTTCAGCTCAGGTGAGCTTATAATACATATGGAAAAATTATTATGAAGATTAGACATACGTCTGTACATTGACTTTATTTTGATAGTCAATAGTCCATAGATAAATAACAACAGAGTTGTGCTTCATATGCACTATGCCTAAATGGTAGTAAAGTTTTGACACATGGTGAACATGATTCCAGCTTGTGCATCATCTGCATCATGTGTCAAACCCTAAATACTTGGTTAAGCATATACATACATGTAGTACATGCAAAGCACAATTCTTTTATATTAATCTAGAATATATGTGTACATACCTGGCAGACTGTTATAGCATTTGCCTGACCCCCTCCTCTGGAAAGCACCATCTGCTGAAGCTGTAATTCCAGTGCACTTTTTGCTGTCTACAAATAAAATCCAATCATTTGAAACTTACCAAACATTTAGTGTAGATATAATACATGTAAGAATTAAAGTCAGAATTTTGGTGTACAGTCCAGAGTATTTCAAGAATCATGGGTCGCCTGCTATAGCATCATTAAGGATATGAAAAAATATAAGAGTGGTCATCTATACTCGGTTGAATACAAGTTTAATACTACATTAAAAGTTCATGCATTTTGTAATGCACTTTGCATTTGACAGAAGAAAAAAACATCTACGGTTTATAAGACGTACTTACAAGAAAAGCATTTATTACTGACACTTGTTTATCATAAAACGTTTAAAAGTACAGTTACATGAGCTAATAAACATGTGGTTTTAATTGAAACAATTTCAGTAAAAATCCAAATAATTATAAGACAGAAGTTTTATTTATTCAGATAATTTTTGAAAAATAGGTCAAAAATCAAGGTTAAGTGGACTGTGATGCTGGTATTTTTCATAATAATAGTCTAATAATTTAATTTTAGTTATAACACGTTATTTGATTGGGTAAATGATTTTATCCATTTTGTATAACAAATTTACTTCATACTTGCCTACGTCAAAATGAGTTATGTCAAAAACATATTACTATGCTTGATGTTATAGTGACGTCATAAGTGATCGATGTGTTCAACACATTCAAATGTATACACTGTTGAGTTTTGAAAAAATGCAAATCCCTTACAGATTTAAAACTTCGGTACCTTACTATTTTTAATAAATCAGTTACATGTGTAAATATAAAAAATAAGGTACCATTTTTTGAGTTTTATATTGGGATGTAAAACAGGTTGGCACATGATCAGATCTTTCATAAAGCCATTTGGGCCAGCTAGTGTTTTATGGGATTTGA